CCCCGCGCTCGGCCGCCGCCTCCGCCGCCACAGCCGCATCCCCTGCGCCGCTCCTCCTCCGGCGGCTCCCGGGCAACGCCGGAAGTCACGGCGCGCACCTGCCAAATCACCCCGGCGGGAAACCGCTCCCCACATGGAGGGGGACGCCCAGGCTCTACCGCGGGCAGGGCAGCTCAGGGCGCGGCCGCCGACAAAGGGCGTGTCGGCTGGGACTGCGAGGAACTTGCGGGGCTCGAGGCACAGCCTGGCCGACGGGGCCGTGCCGAGTGCCAGGCGGGGCCTGCGTGGCGTAGACGCCCTCTCACCAGCTCTAACTCGCTGGTTCCAACTCCGACTTAATTAGCTTCCTTCACTCAACAACATTCGTTTAGTGGGCATCTCGCGAATGCCTGGCCCAGTGCCCGCGCCAGGTTGTAGCCACTGGCGAGTGGCCGTGGCCCCGCGCTCGGACAAATGCGGCGGAATAAGCATTCCTCAAGGCCCGACCCGGGCCGTGGCCCTCCAGCCAGCACCTGGGGGCTTGCAGAGGCTGCCGAGGCGGACACGTTTATTGGAAAACCGAGACCATTTTCATAGACGTGGACAGGTAAGCCCAGAGAAACAAAAAAACGCCTTGAGGCCACCTGGACTGCTCTGCTAGGCTTAAGGCCCTCGCGTGGATGGAGGGAACCCAGATACAGGACCCGCCGCGGGCGGAGTTCTGCCCTCTCCCAGGTAGGGCTCGAGGCGCTAGCAGGGGCGGAAGGAAGAACCCGGAGCAGCGCGCGGTGTGAGGCGCTCGGGGCGGGTCCGAGAGCCCCGGGATATCCGGGGCGGGGCTACGTCGGAGGCGGGGCTAGAGGCTGCCCGACCCTCTGCGACCGGAACGCAAAAGCACCCGGCGACATGCAGATCGGACTTCTGCGTGGTACACTGCGGGCCGGATCGCGGAAGGGCCCGCGCCCGGAAGCGATCTGTTGACCGCGGGAGAGGCCATGGCCGCCGTGGCGCTGGGTCCTCTTGGGCGTGCTCTGCGCTTGCGGAGCTGGTGAGTACAGACGACAACCGAATCGTAGGGTGCCCAGGAAGTGCGTGGGGCGCTCCGCGCTGTCCGGGATCTCGTCTGCTATTTCATCCCAAGCTCCTTGGACGCTTCTGTCCACATATATATCAGAGATGACCTAGCTGATCGTGCATGTTATGCATGAAAAACTAGGACCTTGTCAAGTAGAGAGGACACCTTGCCCAAGTGCTCTGCTGTGAACAGGGGAATATTGAAAGTCTCCTACGTTGACCTTTTTTGTCAAATCCAGTACTTAAAGTGCGTCAGGTTTGGGGGACATCATAGTTTTGTTTTCCGTTTCCTGTGAAGTGGGGTAGAATCACGTATTTATGAAAAGTCGGTCATTGAAAACCCTCAGGAGCACAGTTCTGCTCAGAGAACACGTGGGGTCGCTATGAATCCAAATCGACTTGACGGCAACGTTTTTGGGCTTCTTTCAGGCTTTCGGAGACTTGGCTGACTCACATGAGAGACACCCACCACCGAGCTTCTTTGCTGTCCTTCTGGGAACTCATTCCGATGAGGTAAACTCACCCTTAGCCCTGATCTCCAAGAGTGTCGAAGGGAGACGCACTTACGAACAGAACAAAGCAACACTAAGCAATTTGGTTTGCAAAATTAAAAGCCTGTAAAGTAGCTGTTAGGAGCTCTGGTAGCGTAGTGCACTTGACTGCTAACCAGAAGACTGGCAGGTCAAACCCATCAGCCACTCCTCGGAAGGAAGGTTGGGCAATCTACTTTCCTAGAGAGACCCTCTCTGAAACCCAGTAAGGGGTCATTGTGAGTTGGGTCTGACTCCAGGGCACATAACAGCAGCAGCAACAGCAGCTGTTAAAATTAGGTACTTTTTAACATTCTGTATGTGGAATAGTGCCTAAGGTGTTAGTGCTCACCAGAAGGCTGGCGGTTCAAACCCACCAGGCACTCCTGGGAAGGAAGGTTGGGCAATCTACTTCCGTAGTGATACCACTTCAGAAACCCAAGGAAGGTTGCTGTGAGTTGGGTTTGGTTTTATGTGGAATATTGCTACGTTTGTAGTAAGAAAAAATAAGTAAAATATAGTTTAAATAAAATTTAACTTTGAAGAGCATAAACTTCTGTTTCTCCAGGAGCCTTCCTGTTCCCTGCCAATTTCTAATGTCCTGGGAGGGAGTGGGGTGGTGCCAGGATTAAAGGTCTTTCCACCTGAAACTCTGAATGCTTTCTGGGGACTTGGTTCACTGAAACTTGGTTTTGTTGCTGGAAGACTTGCTGCTTCTTAACTAATTACCATAGGAGATGTGTTGCTAAAAGGGTAAATCAGACTTTTGACAATGCTGTTGTTGTTAGGTGCAGTTGAGTCAGCTCTTGACTCATAGTGACCCTATGGACAACAGAAGGAAACACTGCCCAGTTGTGGGTCATCCTCACCATCCTTGCTATACTTGAGCCCATTATTTCAGCCACTATGTCAGTCCGTCTCGTTGAGAGTCTTCCCCTTTTTCACTGACCCTTTACAAAGTATGGTGTCCTTCTCCAGAGAATGGGCCCTTCTGACCACCTGAGCAAAGTAGGTGAGATCGTCTGGCCAGTCTCACTTTCAAGGAGCCTTCTGGCTGCATTTCTTCCAGGACAGATGTGTCCATTCTTCTGCCAGTCCCTGGTATGTTCTAGACAGCGTTCTAGGATGGGGAAATTTGTTAAGAAATCCCAAAAAGTAAATAGGAGTCGCTCCTATTGCCTGCCATTCAAAGCATTTTTATACATCACAGACCCATTGAAAACGCGAATGACGAGCTTCTACGTCACTGGTTCGGTTTCTTCACTTCACTGCAATGCCGAGCCCTACCTCCGCCCTAGCACTAGGATGAGCACTTCCCTGTAGTGGGTACCCTAC